GTGGACTGGACCCCTCAGGGACACACGTGGAATTGGGGTCAAAGGTCAGGGATGTTTGGCTCGGTTAGTCACAAGGTTTGGGGGAAGTCCCTTGGGCAAAGAAAAGTCCATACTAGACCAGGGGGTTGCGCGAGTATCCCACGTTGCCTACTACTGGGACCTGAACCAAATGTATTCATTAATCCTTCATTGCATCTTGCATTTTGCATTGTATACAATTGTCATGAAAGGTTTTGTGGCTAGTATTTGAAAACTGTAGGTATGGTATTATTCAAAAACCCTTCTGTACAGATTCGCAATGTCTTAATTCCAAATTCTTCTTTGACTGAGCAAGTACAGTGTGGCAGGGAAAGTCAGTTTACGTAAGTGATTCCTTTATTGTGGGAAACACATCAAGCCTAAACCAGTCACAGCAGGTGACACCCAAAAATGTGTCTCTCCAGCCTTTACCTTCACAATAGTACCTTCACCCATGTCAATTATCAGAGTTGGGCACACAGCAGATGAAGGGAAAACCACATGCTTGATAAACATGTAGCCTGATTCACAACCTTTACAATGGCATTTAACCCTATTAAAATAACATACTCGTTAACGGACTGAGAAAATTCACGAGGACATTGGTAATTTCAGCAGTCAACAAAAATTGTCAACAAGGAACTTTGCACTAGTCCTGTCAGTCAAATCCATCAATAAACAAGTATGACTCTTACAGGTAATGTCTAACAAATTGAAACACTGCACAAATTGAGCATTTCATTTATCATTGGCATTTTAACAAGTATCAAGATTCAGGGCTTCATTTTAATAAATACGAGGAGAGCTAAAAAATCGCTCTCCTTAATTCACTTTGTTGATTTAAGGAAAGCGATTAGAAATTGCTCTCCTTAAATCAAAGTGAATTAAGGGGAGCGATTTGCTCTCGCTAACAAAAGCCAAGTTAATGTAAACATACTCAGTAAAATTAACACAATTTCTTTTACTGAGTTCAATGAGTTAACTTTAATCAGTAATGGGTCAAGCAGCAGGGGCTCTAGCTTTTGATCAAGGCGCATGCAGCGAAATGGATTGTAGACATGGATTACATAATATACCAGCCCAACTAGTATATTAATATACTACGATAATATATTTACTCACGATCGTAATATACTTACGATCTTATACTAGGACAACGTCTTCATTGCATTGCGACTGACGTCCAGGTAATGAAATTTTGTCCCGGCCATAGCAAAAATTCGCAGATCGCATTTTTCCCACTTTTTTCCTGACGGAGCTTGCTGAAATTTTGTCCAAATGTTCCTTAAGCCAAAAATCAGTCAATGCACTGGTTGTGAATTGGTAAACATGTCCATGGTTAACATATTTGCAGAAAATTTTATCGAAAATGCACCTCCGATGTCACTCCCGTTCAAACTCGCTCTGTGAGCGAACTCGCTCAATCCATGGCATCTACTGCATGTTCGCAGGCGTGCATGTGGGTCCGTCATGTAGTCTTTCATCGTACATTGGTTTGGTAGATATGGGCACATAATGCACCTGTCAATTGTAATCCTGGCCCCAGGGGACCCAGGACTTTCAAAAATGTAGCGAGGACGTACCCGGGGATGTCCAAAAAAAGGTGCCCCACCAGCCAGGACGATAGCAGGGACTTGCCCAGGGTTGTACAATGGCTGCCCTGCTGACCCGGGACGATAGCAGGGACTTGGCGGGTGTTGTACAATTTGTTAAACCATCTATCGGTAAAATTTTATAGCAATGAGCTCTTATATGAAATACAAAGTGTTTCCCCTACCCGGACAGATGAAAACCTGACAAAGATGATGCCTCATTTTGGGATCAGTGCGTGCAAAATACAGACATTTCTTTTTTTACAAACATTGTCGCCACTTTCTATGGACTGCCAAATGATTAAAACATGTGTAATTTAACCTTTCAACCAAGTAGCACTGGTCACATGTCTTTTCAAATCATTGGTTCAATCTTCAATAAACGAATGAAGTGTTGTGATAATTGTTAATTGTCGCATGTGCTGGCACTGGCCATGGCCAGGGCCACATGTACATAACGAATGTTTCGATTGGTCCATTGGTCTCCACACAGCGTGTAACAAATTTTAATATTGGATAAATTTTCATAATTATTTCTGAGACGTCCGCAAAGAACGAGTGTAGCGATTTGGGTCGTCGGCCCTCTGATTCCGGTACTTCAGATATGGGGACGAATGTTTCGCCAAAGTTTGGGATAAGTATAGCAGTTGCCCCTTGCTTTGCCTTATTTCGGTGGCATTTTACCTGCACTTACGGCGACCGACTCGATGTCATCTTAGCAATGACCCAGAAGAGTAGGGGACTTATAGAAATTAATGAACGTTATTAGTTATTTATTTTTAGTTGTAGTTGCGACACAACCCTGCATGCTGGGGCAGGGATGGTGTGGGGATTGATCACAACTTGAACGCTCAGCCAGGGAATACAAAAAAGGGTGCCCCGTCCTGGCCGGGGCAAATTACAGGGACTTGGCTGGGACTATCGCGATGGCCCTGTTTTATCTTCCCCGCTAAGTCCCCGCTAGTCCCGGGTCCCCCGGGGCCGGGATTACAATTGACAGATGCATAAATTGACTAGTCTCCTCGCTCGCCCGACAATCCATTTCGCTGCTACAGGGGCTCTGAATTTACTGAGCATGTGCATTCCTTTCTATAGTAGAAAGTATAGCACGTATAGCATGTCCACTGCAGATTGTATTCATTATCCCTTCCTGCGCTCACAATACTACTTCGACCAGTGCATTTTCGTATAGAACACCGGGCACATTACCCGCCAGAGACTTTTTTCTTTCCTGTGGCATATTTTCTGTTCTCGACAAGCGAACATTGTTCTCACGCTCGAACCACACGAACACGCAACAGGATCACACACCATCTCCAGCCAAGACAGGGTTTTTCACAAACTCACTTCTGCTGTTCACAAATGGCCGAGAACGTAGCGCCTGAACTCAACCCGTTCTGGGAGAGAGGTCGGCCGGGTGCGGCCACGTGCATCCATGGAATTCCATAGGCTTGCCCACACGCACTAGGCCCGCCCACATGCACTAGCACGTTTGTGTGTTGCGATGCGGGATTCATCAAGCACGCGCGCACAACTCAAAGACTTTGATCACCAGCCCTTGTGTTTTAATACATTCAATTTTTGGACTCGTTTGTTACTGTCGACCCAACAAGGGGCTAGTCATAAATCAACATTTGCTGGTTTGAAAAAAACGTGCACTCCTTAAATTTTTAAAGAATGGTTTTTGTTGCTCTCCTTGGAAAACATTAAGGAGCACGGAGGAGCGCAAATGCGATCACGCTCCTTTAAAATGAAGCCCTGAAGATTCAGTTAAAACTACAAAAACCATGGGCAATCTTTTCCTTGCAGTTTGCTATGAAAACTGGACCTGTGTCTTAAACCACAGGTCCAGCAGAGAATGTATCCTTCTGTGTTAGAAATTTAATGGAACGTATACCTTGTAACACAATACTTCTGCATTGCAGTTTAATGATGTGAATTAATTTCATTGATACCCTTTCTCCTCAAACAGTGAGGTTTATTCAAGCAGTTACACACATGAGTTTGAAGGAATCATGATGAACATTAACCGGTGTAAATTTTGTTTACTGTTGTTAAATACATGTGCGCAATCTAGCTTGTGCTTCTTGCAAATGAGAAGTTCTGCCTGACCAGAGAAGTGGAACATTGAACTTGCAATGATGACGTAGTGACTGAATGATTTTACATTTTGCTCCCTGTGATGAGCAATCATTTTTACCATTCTGGCTACAAGACTGTCTGTTTATGGCCCTAAAAGGAGCACAGAGTAAAGAAGACAACGCATGTCTTTTGAGTGGCCACCCTTGCCTGAACCACAAACCACATATTAAGGGAGATGTGTAAATGCACTTATTACCTTGCTGGAGGTAGATTGGGTCCAAGAAGTTAAGAATCCTGCAACTTAAACCAGAAACAATGTCAACTTATAGTATTAAACAATGTCAACCTTTCTGCAAAGTGTCCAGAATGAGTTATGAGATGACTCCTTGCAGTGATACAATACTTTTTGATGGGAGATATGTAGTGTGAGGATAGTAAACCTATAGAGCACATGAAGGATATAATAACCTCTTCATTACTCTGTGTATGGGCTCCATTGCCAGTCAGCAGAGTCCTTCCTAAACAAGTTAATTTACTCAATTCGTATCTGAATTTCCATGCTTTGTATTCTTATTTTTTCATTTCACCTTCCCTCTTTTACTTCACTTTAGATGCCTGTTCACACTTACCTAGACCAGTTGAGTCCCAGTGGTGGTATGACGCCTGTTGCAGTCCCTACTCAGTCTGTCTCGTGCCCTGCTGACCTCAACAAAATAAAGCAAGAACCACTTTCAGAAGATCACGTTCGGGCTTTTGCAAAAGAAAGGCAGAAGAAAGATAACCACAACATGAGTAAGTGCAGATGTTTTATTAAAAGTACCTATTTCATTACTGCACTTTAAAAATCTTTTTATGCTTGTAAGAAACTCACAAATTAAAGTTTATTACTTTTTAGCAGAGCAGGGTTATACATGCCTAATTCCATATATTTTTGTACACAGACAAAGCTTCCTGGAAGTCTTCAAAATCTGGTTTGCTTTTGACTTCTACTTGCCAACGTGCATGGCATGTTGTAGTTATGTTGCTTCACGATGGCCGAGCCATAGTGTTGAAAATTATGATATTGTACAAGTATTGAAAAAAAGGAATTATAAGATTCCGCATTTGTGACATTTAACTGTATTTGGATAGTTATTTAACCACTTCCACCCGGGGCTCCATTACCAGAGTCATAGTCCTTATATTCGTGGCCGGGAACTCCGAAATTAGAACTTTACTATAGAAAAAAAAGTTGTGGGCGTTTCTTAAAAAGTTTGGGGCTGTCAGTTAAAAAGATTAAGCCATCATTGGCGGTAAATAAATTTGTCAAAGGCAATGATGGGTTGCTGGAGCCGGAGAATTGGGACTTTATTTTATAGCCGGGGTGACCGAACTTATAAAAGCCTGGAATAAAAGTATGAGCTGCTGAGAGCTGCTGGGCACTGCCAATCAATCCCTGTATTCTTTCAGCGCAGAGTGCTGAAATAAGCGGAGGTAATCCGTGTATTGTTTGTGCAGAGCGCATTTGCTCGCGCTGCCGGGCGCTCGCAGCGGATTATCGCTGCACTGCACTGAAGCCAAAGCGCGGGCTGTGCGGGCTCATTATGCACCTATGCCCCATGAATGACCCAGCCCGGGTGCTGCTGGCCCTTGCCACGTTGACTGACAGGGCACGGCCCTCACTGCTTGAGAATAAAAACGCCATGCATTGGCTACATGTGTTCATATTGGGTATCGTGTTATTCAGAGCACAGACAACATGGCTGAAGTTATATCCGGAGAGTCCAGTTCTTCCAGTGAAAGCGAGTTTTGTCTGAGTTCAGACGAAGGTTCTTCGTCTTCTTCATCACCGCCGTCACTTGCTCAAGTACAGTCAAGTACAGAAATTGACAGTGATGTGCCCTTGGCTGTATATGCCAAGCGCAAGAGACAGTTCCGTACACAGACCGCCGCGTCAAACAGCAGCAGTGCCGCACCGTTCCGGTGGACAGATGAAGACAGTACACCGCTGAAGTACGGCTTCTCTGGTAATGGTGGTGCCGTCGATCCCTGCCTGCATCGCAGCTCAACCTGCAGTGAAGTCTTTGAACTGTTTTTTGACGACGTTCTCTACAAGAAGATAGTGCAAGAGACCAACCGGTATGTCGTGCAGAGGCCCGCTACAACATCGGCGCACATGCGATCATGGACTGATCTGAACACTAGAGAACTGAAGGCCTTTCTGGGCCTTTGCATAATGACGGGATTGCGATAGCTTCTGGTCCACCGACCCACTACTGAAGATGAGCCTATTCCCGTCCGTCATGCCCCGAGCTCGCTTCCTTGTCATCCTGCAGTCCCTGCACTTCAACGATAACACTGCCATGCCAGATGACTGCACCGACCGCCTCTTCAAAGTGCGCCCAGTCGTCGACCATCTTGCTCAGAAGTTTGCTACTGTCTGCGTTCCTCAACGGGACATTTCCGTCGACGACTCCCTGCTGAAGTTTTACGGGTGTCTCCG